AGCACCATATATTTAAAAAGTTGTCCTTTCCCTATTGTATGTTCTTGGCAATTTTGTCAAAAATGAGTTGCCTGTCAATGTGTGGACTTATATTTGTGTTTTATCGTGTTCCCTTGGTCTAAGTGTCTGGTTTTATGCCAGTACCATGCTGATTTGCTTGCTATAGCTTTGTAGGTAGTATATTTTAAGGTCAGGTAGTGTGATGCTTCCCACATTGTTCTCTTTGCTCAGGATTGCTTTGGTTATTCAGGGTCTTTTGGGTTCCATATACATTTTAGGATGGTCTTTTATAATTCTGTGAAGAATGTCATTGGTATTTTGATGGAGATTGCACTGAACCTGTAAATTGCTGTGGGAAGTATTGTCAATTTAACAATATTAATTCTTCTAATCTATGAGCATGGAATATCTTTCTGTATTTTTGTATCCTCTTTAATTACTTTCATTAGTGTTTTATAGTTTTCCTTGAATAAATCTTTCACTTTTTTTGGTTAAATTGATTCATAGATATTTTATATTCTTTGTAGCTACTGTAAATGGGATTGCTCTCTTGATTTCTTTTTCATATTTTTTGCTGTTGGAGTATATAAATACCATTGATTTTTGTACGTTGAATTTGCATCCTACAACTTTACTGAATTTGTTTATCACTTATAAGAGTTTTTTGGTGGAGTCTTAGGTTTTTCTAAGTATATGCTCATGTCATCTGCAAACAAGGCAATTTAATGTCTTCCTTTCCAATTTGGATGTCCTTTTTTTCTTTCTCTTGCCTAATTTGTTTGGCTAGGACTTTCAGTACTATATTTGAGTAAAAGTGGTGAAAATGGCCATCCTTGTGTTATTCCAGAACTTAGAGAGAAGGCTTTCAATTTTTCCGTGTTCAATACAATGTTAGCTGTGGTTTTCTCATATATGGCCTTTATTGTTTTGAGGTTTTTTTTTTTTACTTCTACACCCAGTTTTGAGACTTTAAAGCAATATTAAATTATATAAAATGCTTTTTCAGCATCTATTGAAATGATCATATGGTTTTTGTTCTTGCTTCTGTTAATATGATATATCACATTTATTAATTTGCACATGCTAAACCATCCTTGCATCCCTAGGATGAATCCCATTTGATCATGGTGAATGATCTTTTTAATATATTGTTGAATTCACTTTGCTAATATTTTATTGAGGATTCTTGCATCTATATTCATCAGTGGTATTGACTATAGTTTTTGATTCTTGTTGTGCCTTGTCTGATTTTTGTATCAGGGTTATGCTGGCCTTACAGAATGAATTTGAAAGTATTCTCTTCAATTTTTTGAAGAGTTTGATTGAATTCATATTAGTTCTTTAAATGTTTGGTAGAATTCAGCAGTGAAGCCATCAGGGCCTGAGCTTTTCTTTGATAGGAGACTTTTTATTATAGCTTTGATCTCCTTACTCGTTGTTGCTTTATTGTAGTTTTGTATTTATTCATACTCAATCTTGATAGGCTGTATTTGCCCAGAAATTTATCACTTTCTTCTAGGTTTTCCAATTTGGTGGTGCATAGTTGTTCATAGTAGTCTCTAATGATAGTTTGTATTTCTGTTGTCTCAGTTGTTATGTCTTCTTTTTAGTTTCTGATTTTATTTATTTGGGTCTTCTCTCTTTTTTCCTAGTTAGTCTAGCTAAAAATGTTTGTCAGTTTTCTTTAAATTTTCAAAAAACTTACTTTTCATTTTGTTGATCTATATTGCTTTTTATTTTTTGGTCTTAATTACATTTATTGCCATTCTAATCTTTATTACTTATTTCCTTCTACTAATTTTAGATTTAGTTTGTTCTTGCTTTTCTAGTTTCTGGAGGTGCATTGTTAGATTGTTTATTTGAAATTTTTCTACTTCTTTGATATAGGCATTTATTGCTGTAAACTTCCCTCTTATTACTACTTTTACTGTATCCCATAGATTTTGGCATGTTGTATTGTCATTTTCATTTTCACTCTAACCTTTTAATTGGAGAATTGAGTCCATCTACTTTCACTGTTATCGATAAGTAAGGACTTACTACTATTATCATTTTGTTGCTTGTTTTCTGGTTGCTTTGAAACTCCTTTCTTTCTTCCTGTCTTCCTTTGTGGTTAAGCAATTTTCTATGGTAGTATGTTTTAATCCATTGCTTTTTATTTTTAGTGAATTTGTTCTAGGTTTTTGCATTGTGGTTACCATGAGGCTTACAAAAAACATCTTGTAAATATAACAAGTTATTTTAAAGATATGACAACTTATCTTAGATCACAAAGAAAAGAATAGAAACAAAGAAAGAAAATAAAAACATCTATACTTTAACTTTATTCTCTCTAACATATTTACTTTTAGTCATCTCAATTTAAATATCTTTATATTACCTATCTTTTAACAGCTTGCTGTACCTATTGTCGTTTTTGATAGATTTGTCTTTCGGCTTCATACTAGAGTTATGAGTGGATTGCACACCACAATTACAGTATTAGAGTATTCTGGCTTTGTCCCTGCACTTAATTTTGCCTCTGGGTTTTGTACTTTTAGATGTTTTCCTTTTGCACATTAGTGGGTTTTTTTTTTCTTTCAGATTGAAGAACTCCCTTGAGCATTTCTTGTAAGATAGGTCTTGTGGTGATAAATTCTCTCAGCTTTTATTTGTCTGTGAAAAACTTTAGCGTGCCTTCATGTTTGAAGGATAATTTTCCTGAGTATAGTATTCTTGGGTGGCAGTTTTTTTTTTTCTGCTCTTTGAAAATGTCATTCTACTCCCTCCTGACCTGTGTTATTTCCATTGAGAAGTCTGTTGTCAGATGAATTGGAGCTTCTTTATATGTTATTTGCTTCTTTTTTCTTACTTCTATTAGAATTCTCTCTTTGTCCTAGACCTTTGAGAGTTTGATGATTATATGGCTTGTGGTATTCTTATCCGGGTTGAATCTGTTTGGAATTTTCTGACCTTGCTGTACCTGGAAGTTTATATCTTTCTCAAGTTTTGGAAAGTTTCTTTTGTTATTATTTCTTTGAATAAGCTTTCTAACCCTTGCTCTTGCTCAATTCTCCTTTGAATAATAATAATTTTTAGATTTGGTCTTCTTAGGTATTTGTATCATGTAGGTGGTCTTCGTTCCTTTTCATTGTTTTTTCTCCTCTAAATGCATGTTGTCAAATAGCCTGTATTTGAGCTCACTGATTCTTTTCTCTGTTTGATATATTCTGTTGTTGAAAGCCTCTAATGAAATTTTCAGTTCAGCAAATGTATTTCTCAGTCCTAAGATTTCTGTTTGATTTTTTGTATAATTTCAGTCTCTGTGTTAAATTTCTCTGATAAATTTCTGAATTGCTTTTCTGTGCTATCTTTGAAATCACTGAGTTTCCTTAAAACTTCTATTTTGAATTCTTATTTGGAGAGCTCATAGATTTCCTTCTTGTTGGGGTCAGTCACTTGTTCCTTACTTTGTCCATTTGAGGAATTTATGGTTCCCTGTTTGCTATTGTGTTTGTCTTTATGTTGAAGTATTAGTTATTTATTCTGGACTTGTCTGTCTGGCTTGTTTTGGTTTTTCTTGGATACGTTTGTTTAGAAATTCTTCGTAATTTACCTGTTGATTTTCTTTTTTCCCCCACTAGGTTGCTGCCTCCTTTTAGGCAATAGATATCACCCTAAGCCCAGGTTTGCTTCATTTCTAATAAACAATCAGAGTGCCACCTATCCAGAATGGGGAAAGTCCCAAAGGGAATATGTCAGTAATGTGAGAAGGCTGGCTAGGGGTTCATGCCCAGGGGACCTGTGGGATAAATCTCCTACAGTGTGGAGCTGCCAAACAGCTACTCTGAGTTGGCATCTCCTTTGGTTGAGTTACACAGCAGCAGAGTTTTCAGGACTGGGGATTGTAGTCCTGCCTTCCTGCCTTTTCCTCTGGCTATCCTCTGGGATATTTCTTCAGGCACCCCTGATGCTTCCTGTGGGTTTAGGCAGGGACAGATCACTTTCCAGGATACTCAAGATAACGGGGAACCTGGTTAACCACCTTGATCTCACTTTTTCCAGTGCAGACACTCGATTTTGAGGGAAATTTTTCATGTGCTTGGTGCAGGGCAGATTCGGGCAAGGGGAGTCACCGATATGGACATCCAACTCTCTTGTCATCTGCTCAGAGTTTTTCCACTTCTCTTCGGCCCTGGGACTGCCTCATTTGAGTTCTAGGATATTGCTGGTGATGATCTCAGCATTGTATATTTGTTTCTGGTTTCTGTAGGGGAGGAAGAGTATTAAAGGCAACTTGCTTCTTTGCCACCATTTTGGAACCAGAGTCTTATCTGTCAAAAATTTCATAGTAGAAAATCTTTCATCAAGCAGATGATTGGGCCAGATAACCACTAAGAGCCTTCTAATTCTAAGCTTCGGTTTCTGTAAGATGCTGTACAAAAGTTTTCCAATTGCCTAGAATATCTGAGTGAGATTGGTATCTGAGTGAAATATCTTCAATAAATATTATTCAGCACAGAAAACATGCTGGAAAAACAGCTTTTTGTGGCAATAGATAAAAACAGTGTTTTACTGGAAACCCCAATTTAATCCATATGAGAAAGCACTGAACTCTATAAAAAAGAAAAATAGGCAAAATAAAAGAGAGATTTATGCCCTGTGGCTTTACATGTTCCCATTAGGGTGATTATAGATTAGGTCTTTGTATCCCCTACACCTAGACAAATTATGTATTGTTTTTCTTTTTTAGTCGATCTTGGCTGAATTCCAAAATGTATTGTCACATTCTGAGTACATAATTTCCATGGCATAAATTTGCATCTCTACTTCAGCTTCTCTATCAGCTCTAGAAATATTGCTTGGTGATGCATTGTTGTCAACAATTGAGAAATTGCTCCCAAAGGAGGACGCTGCCAAAATACGTAACTATGGTTTTCTTAGGAAACAGGTGGCAAGAGCCAAAACTTTGAGATGGTAATTATTTGGGTAATTCTGAGGGTATCTGTTTCCTCTCACAGGGTGGAGACTGTGGGGAAGGAGTCCAGGTCCGCAGCCGTTCCTGTGTGGTCCACAATGGTTTGATATCTCACACAGCTGTCCGTGTAGAGGATGCCCTGTGTGGAGAAACCCCCTTTCAAGACAGTGTCCTAAAGCAGCTGTGTTCTGTGCCTTGCCCAGGTATGCAATTCTAGCAACTGGGAGTGTCTCCCATTATAAGCTTTTTGTTTATTTCTTTTTATTACTTTTTTTTTCTGGAGAAGCTTTATCTCATTAAAATTGAAGTTTTTAATTAACTTTAATTCATTTTTTATTGCTATGATTACTTTGGTATATAACTACTGTTTCAGTGGAGCCAAAGTAGGCAAAAGAAGAAAAAAAAAAAAAAAGCACTGGATTTGGAAATAAGGACTAAGTTACAATCTTGTCTCTACTATTTCACTGGTGTTTTAACTGGGGCATATAATCTAGCCCTTCTGAGCAATGGTTTCTTCATCCAGAAAATGCAATGATAATACCTAATCCAGCAGCACTTAGCACATTGGCCAGCACTCAGAGAATGTTGACTGAATCTGAATGGATGCATTCTGGGTGCTGGCGTGATGGGAACCAGTAAGGCTGTGGGTTTGTAAAAGCACTCTGTGAACAGTCACATTGTATCTAAACATGAAGGTCTCTTTTAGTTACATAAAGTGTATAATTTTACTTTAATCCTAGTAACACATCTTAGCTTATATTGCATAAATTTAAAGTGACAATATATCCTTGTAACACATATGTATATGTGTGTATGCACGCATGTATATGTAAATATACACAAAGATATATATATGCACAAATGTGCATATCTGTGTATAATTTATATATAAATTTGTGTATTATTTATTTTATTTATTTTGTTTAATCTATCTTTATTATCTGTAATTTTTTATTAATTATAAAATTATATAAAAATTACAGATAATATAGATTAAATAAAATACATAATAAATAGATTTATATATAAATTATATATATGCAGAGAAAGATGTTTAGAGTATTAAATTAAACATTCTTTAGTCCAAAAGATATTTCATTTTAGTGACCTACTTATTCTCTTTTATATGGTTTCTATGAAAATCCATTTTATGATGTTATGCTGAGCTTTGCAAACTGAGTTACTATAATCTTTACATGTCCCTTTTAAAAGTTTTATTATCACTAGCAGACGTATAATATTCTCTAGATGCAACTACTACAATTTGAAGCAAAGTAATGGCAACCTAGTTTTTGGCACTCTCTGGTCAAACTAGATTCAACTATAAATTATTTCATCATTCTTAGTACTTTCTAATTGGAAAATTGGTTAAAATAGAATGTGTTGTATCTAGAACCCACCCATAACACTGCAGATCTCTGCATGAGCCCTGTCCGTGAAAATCTTGTCAAGTGCCAGTCTCATGCTCTTTCTCCCACCCTGTACTGCATGACTGTCCAGGAGACTGTCATTTAACTGAATGGTCAGAGTGGAGCACATGTGAATTAACCTGCATCGATGGAAGAAGCTTCGAGACTATGGGCCGCCAATCTAGGTCAAGGACATTTATAATTCGGTCCTCTGAGAACCAAGACAGTTGCCCCCAACAGGTTCTAGAAACACGCCCTTGTACAGGTACCAAGAACAATTTTCAATTCTTTAGCCTTGATTGATCAATGCTTATTCTGTTTGTAAGTGAGGTGTAATAGAACTGCTGTTATCATATTTACTTGCAGGGGGCAAATGTTATCACTATACATGGAAGACAAGTCTTTGGAACAATAATGAACGAACTGTATGGTGCCAGCGTTCAGATGGCATTAACGTCACAGGTATTCCTGCCTAAGACTCACGGAGACATTTCAAAAAGAGCTCTGAGTGGTGCTGTTTGTGAGAAGAATTTGCTTACAAATAAGCGAGGGATGACTGGGCAGGTGGCTTACATGATCTTCAGGGCAAATTTTCATTAGATCTTTGCTGCTTAGAAAGCCCACAATTTTATCTGAAGGCCCACAATATATTAGGCAACTTAAGGAAATAAGCTGAAATGCAATATAATAAAATATACTTAAATATCACGATCTGAGACAAAGACTGAAAAAGATAGATGCTAGTTTAAAACAATTGTCTCTGAAATTTTAAATCATGTACCTACTCAGTAAAAAGTTCTTGAGGTCATACCTCAACATATATTCCTGCACTACTATGTTGATATATTATATTACAAAACATACTCAGAAATTGGAATTAAATGGTAGATAAAGATAAAATTAAAATGTTCTATGGTACAAAAACCACTGTTGCTGTAAATTATAAATGTTTGTATTCATGCACTGAAAGCTTAGTTTTTGAATATTTTGCTGATCATTATTATTACTTTTTATCTAAATGTAGACTGAGGGAAGGGATCCTCATTCATGACAGTGGGAACAATTTGATTATACAAATGGTCTTCTCAGTAATTTTAAAGATTTTTTTAATGCTTTCTTGTGAGAGCAAATGAAATTATCATTGTTTTTACTTAGTATGGGGCTGGCAAAGAGTTCATGTGAGGAGTGGGAGAAGTGTCTGTAGGAATAGAATTATCAGCACCTCCTTTTTCTTGTTTTCCTGCTCTGACATTATTGATATTCCTTTTAATCTGTGGTTTATCCAAACAATAATTTATTTTACACTGCCTGCTTGTCCATTTTGTAAGTTTTTAAAACTAAATATACTCTGCGTTTATCTAGCCAGGAATATAGAAAGCATCATACCCTGCAATGTGCTGAGAGTTGACACACTGGCAAGGGTCACGCTATCAACTCTCTGCATCGAGTTCCCCAGCACAGTATACAACACGTGGCCACCTGACGAATAAGCGCAGGTCACCAGTATCATCTGTGAAATATTATTAGAGCTTAATGTTATTCTTAAACTTAAAAAACATGTTTTATAATCTATGTAAATTCCAATATTTTCTTTCTGGTTCCCAAGAGCTGTCCTCCTCCTGAGGTACTCTGCTTTGGAGATCACTGGTTTAAAAAGTGGAAAACTTCCCCCCACCCCATCACAATTAGTAGCAACAGGAGTGTGTGGTTATTGCCACTAACTCCCAAATTATCAATTTCACACCTCAGTGCTAATTCTGAATTGTGAGGTTTTTTTTATTTTTAATTTCTGTGTGGATTATTTGTTTTATTTTTCAAGTAATAGTGAGAATTTAGCTGCTTCATTCCCAGGGAAAATGTAGGTCGGACTGTTCCCTACTCTGCCTTAGGCCCAAAGATTTTTGCTATCTACAACATCGTAAACTATAACTGGTTGATAATTATAGTTATCCAAAGGCTAAAATCTATAAATGCAACCAATGCTATATAAATACAGTTTAACTATTGCCCTTGAATAAGTCAACTTGTTAGTAGAATTGTCTCCAGGCTTTCTCCTGTGTGTCTTTTACTACTCAGAATAATCTACTAGTGTGTACATGGGTTTCAGATTATGGAGACATACATTATGCCATCCATTTACTCAAAAATACCTACTGAGCAGCTACAAGTACTGTGTGAGATATTCGATTGCCCCCTAGAGCTTACACATTTGCTCTTAAAAATAAGTCTGTGACTCTGTGTGTGTATATTCTGCTTGACAAACATTTAAAAATGCTACTAAAGTATTTGATATCATGATCCCATGAATTGATTAGTGGCATTCTTTTAGCATTTATTGGGTTGTTGGAATTGGCCTAGTGCCTAGCTGGGGCATTCAGGAGCTGGAGCAATACTTACATAGAATGAGTCTTTGAAAGTAGATGTGTTTTCTGCTTCTGAACTTAAATTGAGATTTCGATTCTTTCACTGATCTTGACTCTCATAGACTTTGTCCTCAAGAAAAGCCATATGATAGAATCCCATTGCCAATGAACAGGTATAAAAACCCTGCTGCAAACAGCCTCTGTTAGAAGAGCCTCCACTTTTAGACAACATACCCTGGAGTAATCGATAAAAGAAGACTGGACCACAACCAACTATGGTTGGCAAATGAATTGATAAAAAATAATGCTGTTAACAGGAGTCCAGTGCGAGAGGAAAAAAAGTACCAAAAAATTAAAAATGTTTATCATAGAGAAATCTACAGCTGATGGTGGGATTTCCTTTGTAGGAGGCTGCTCCCCTCAGGCCCGTCCTGCTGCTATTCGGCAATGCATTCCCGCCTGCAGAAAACCTTTCTCCTACTGTACACAGGTGAGTCATGGGTTGGAGCCTTCTACAAGTATTTTAATCGCTGTGTTTTACGTATTCAGTCAGATGTTCTCCTGTCTGCTGCAGCCCAAGCAGCAATTCCATGTGCCCACCATACCACCTAGAGGCATTTGCAGGAGTAATCACTGCTATTTATGATTTCTTAGCAGGACCATGTATTAAGAAAAGCAATCGTTTTTTTGGTAAAGCTGTCTTTATCCAAATCTGTCTTTCAGATATCTAATTTATATTATCTCTATTTACCGATAAGTGTTCTTAGTTGATTCTATTCTTAACCTTTTATACACCTAACCTATTTTGAAAGATAGAAATGCTTTTCTTATTTGCTAAAGTTATTATTAAAATGTATGACACTATGATTACTGTAGTATGAGTAAATCTTTAGTTCAGTTTAAATAAGCTAAATACATGAATATGATTAAAAATATGTGTATGTGTGTGTATATATATATATATTTGCAAACAGAAATCTTACTCCCCTTTATTCTCCCACAACTCCCACCCACCACTGCTCAGGAATTAATGCAAAACATGTAATGTATTCTAATCAATAGCATTCATAGCGTGCAGTGTATATATAACTTTAAAAAGTTATGCTACGTTTCTTAAAGAAACAGGCTTCTTCTTAATAGGGTGCTTATTCCCAAACTGAT